GACAACTAAATATTTCAGTGTTTCAAAAACATGAAAACACTTCGACTTCGTTTAGATTGAAGAAAAACGGAACCCGACAAAGAATGCAAACAACAAACTATTATTTCGTAATTTAATAATATATTAGCAAAGCAGTCACGTTCAGAGCAGGCAAAAATGTTTTATGAGTAAATTATATTTTATTTTTAACACGCGAAACTACTTTGTTTTTTATACAAGGCTGCATGATTTTCACCGTTTTTGTCAGTAACTGCACAGTCATTTGCTTCGAGCCTTTAATTAAAGAACTTAATATTTCAAAATATATTTCCAAACTACAAATTAGACAGCAAGACAAAACCTTTTGTTTTAGCTTTGTTTATACTTTGTAGTTTGCACCTATTAAATACTTGCATAATTTCGTACGTTCATATTTCAGGAAACAATGAGCTAAGACTTAGCTTACATGTATAAGAAGTCTAAATCTACGCCATATCCCTTACAAACCCTAACGACAATTCGCTGAAATACAAGTTAGCCTGATATGTCAAATTAGCCTGATATGAAGTTAATATTTGATATGCCGATTTTCGCTAATTTTAGACACATCCCAAAATATGCTCCCGATTTTGAACATTAATATCTCCGTGAATTTTTAAGTAAAATACAACTGTAATATATTAAAATCTAAGTTAGTCCTTCCTCTATTTAATGCAAATTATTTCTGTTTGAAAGCTTTACTTATTTAGAAGTTATTATAAATCAAACCGGAGTACTTTTTTTTGGGACACCCGGTATATATATATATATATATATATATATATATATATATATATATATATATATATATATATATATATATATATATATATATATATATATATAGTGATTTAGTAATTTAGTAAAGGTTTCAATGTGCAACCAAAAGAGACATTTATAACGTAAAATAAAATAAAAGCCACTCAAATTTTGCAAAATTTGAGTGGCTTTTATTTTATTTTACGTTATAAATGTCTCTTTTGGTTGCACATTGAAACCTTTTCTATATACAACACTTGTATCTTGTTATCAGCAACATTTCACTATATATATATATATATATATATATATATATATATATATATATATATATATATATATATATATATATATATATATATATATATATATATATATATATATCAGACAATACAGCCGCAAGTTCGAAAGCAAAAGTCTTTCTATACTTTGTTTGGGATGACGTCGGAACCCTGTGATTTTGTTGTTTTAATTTAATGCGCCGCAGCGCTGAATAAACTTGTCCAGTATTAATCATAACATAATCTGGCACTTCAGTCTCTTCAATCTGATGACAGCGAGCCAAGGGTTCAAAGTGAGCAGTGAGACCAACTAAGAAGTCGTTATAAGACTCAGCAAGGTCCGCACAATTAGGGTTATGGTACCAAGACTGTTGAGATGATAAACCACCAAGGGATTTGATTCCTTTCCTCCACCTTGCTGGGTTTGTATTCTTTAACTTCTTGACAGACTGGTGGTAAAATCTTTTACGAGCAGTTTTAACTTCTTGCCGAACTTAATTTTGCCAATATTTATAAATCTGCGAAGTTTTCCCGTACAAGTGAAGAACTCTCTGACGTCGCTTGATTAACAATTTTAACGATTGTGTTACCCATGCATTATCTGTTGAAATCTTGGAAATCCATGCAATTAAATCTTGGAAATCGAAAAAGAAATGTTTAGAAGAGCTAAGATAGTTAAAGCCCTTGACAAGCTAGCAAAATAGTTCGCCGAAACTAGTCTAAGAATATATAAATGTTTCCTCCAATATTTCTATGTTTGCCCGGCACCCTCTCAAACATTTATGCAGAAACAAAATTTGCTTTCGAAGAAGCAAATATGTTTCCCTACAATTTCGGAAACATAATTCACTGCAGAAAATAACGTTCGAAACAATGTGCCAAATTTAGCAAAAATACCCTAAGAAATCATCTTTCTGCAACACGGTTTTCTATCTCAGGGCTCATATTGACAACAAAGTAAGCATGCAATAGGGAAGTAGTTACCGTCGTTATCTAGGATATTCACAGTTGCAGGTTCGCCAGATATTACTCCAGAGACAGAAGTCGATACCACGGAAACACTGAATGATTCTGTATTTTCTACCAGTGGATCATCGATTATTTCAAACTCAACTTCTTTTGGACCTGTTTCTCCTGGATTGAATGTCACATTTACAGTTCTGGAAACGAAATCTTTATCACTAGCTGAGGCAGGACTTGTTTCTAATCTGAAATAGAATATATATGTATATATTTATGTTATGTTATTTTGTGTTATTGTTCACTATTAATAAGGAGAAAATGTTCTCAACTCGAGTGAGTATGATCTCCTCTGCGCTAGTGTTGTGTACTCAGGTGAGTGAGTATTTCATAATTTCCAGACTTTCTGCTATGCGCACGGTCTGGAAATTATGAAATATATATTGCGCAAATGTTGCCTGATCTAAATATTAGAGACTGATCGTCACCAGATACATCGTCTGCCTGATGAACTGTCTTTATGGTATAGCACGATCTACAATCGCGACATCAGATAGAGTCAATCCAAAATATTGGAGACTAACCGGACAGTGACGGGTGATGTTGCTTCGCCTCGTGTAAATCCGATTGTAATTTTGGCCTTCTGGTCCTCTGGGACATCATAAGTTTGACTTGTGAATCCAATAATAGCATCTACAGTTCAAGTAACAAAACATCTTTAGTTAGGTTTATGCCAGCATAATATTTGCATTCTATCAATTTTGTTTGAAGAAACTCTATGCTACAATAAAACTAGGGATCCAAGGATAGTGTGAAGTTTCAAATTGAGAAAGACACTGCAGGAACTAGATAGGGTCGCCGACAACCTAGAAAAGCTGATGGCTTACACTACGAAATAAACAGTTACCAAAGGCATTTCATCTCATTATCTATTGTTTTTAATGCGTTCGGCACATGAGTGGCGAGACGTTTGAAACAAGCCTAACACATAAAAAACGTGGAACTGATACAATTTATTTATTTGTTGTGATGCTACACGCGACAACTCGAAATTTAAATTGTTTCACCAACAACCAAATTTTGAATATTCTAAAACTACATTTGCTTTTTGGAGCTGTTGCTAAAAGCATCCTCACGAGGCTACTTATATGCTAAACTTATTTAAAACTATGATTATTCCCATGATCCTTTTAGCGCCCATATTGCACATTTGACTATTGTCTCAGTGACAACTTTAATTGAAATAGCTGTACAAGATTATTAAAAGGACGTATTTTATCCCCATCCGTTCCGTATTTTATCCCCATATCCGTTCCGTGGATCCGCTCCATCCGCTTCCACATTTTAACCTAATTGTGACATGTTTCACAATAACAAGTCTCACTGAAGCCTGGTTCACATATATGCCTGCGACGTGCCTGCGACGATGCCGGTGGTAGCTTAAAACGTGAATTATGTGAATATTTGTTCGCCGATTGCCTCCAGTGCCACAGTTACATCGGCGGTAGGCCGGGAAAGTTGACTTGAGTTCAACTTTGCCGGTATTTCGGCGGCAAGTAGAGACATAATGATACAGTCGCAGGCATGCCGCAGGCATATGTGAACCAGACTTGACCTTCGACCAGTGCTTCCATTTTGAAGGAAATTTCCTTTTTGAAGGAAATTTGAACTAGTTGAAGGAAATTATTAGGAGATTCGAATCTGAAGGAAATTTGAAGGAAATTTCGGAAGATTGAAGGAAATGTGAAGGAAAAATTTTCAGCTTTTCGCATGTATTCAATAATGTCACTTTAGATTTCAAAAGTTTCCCAGTTATAGCAGTGTTTATAGCAGTTTTGACAAACTTTGATACAGCTCTGTGTGCAGATTTGATTCTCGTATGATCTGGTAGAGGAGTTCTCGTTGCACTAAACACGAGTTTGCACCATTGGCATTGTGCTAGACAGTAAACAAGGTCCGTGACGACACGTTCTCGTTGGCTACCTCCTTGCATTTTTCATCTATTGCATAAAGCTTGTTGGCGAGCCAAGCGATTGGCTATAACACTTTGGCTATAACACTTTGGCTATCTCCTCGTCTTGCTTGTTTAAATAAAGAGCTATGACTCAAATGATTTCTTTAGTCTCGCAAGCTATTTTCTTCGTATAAAAGCCATACAAACACCCGCTTCTAACAATAGTTGTTTACGCTTATTGATCTGATGCATTTTTTCGCACTTTGTACTGAGTGTAGGCTGTGTAGCCATCTATTCTGTGGTGTAGCACCTTTAACAGTCAATGCATAAATGAATACACGGTCCAAATAATATTGATGGTCACTTAATTGATGCCGGTAATGCATAACATCAATTTATATATTGCGTAGAATCTCAAAGATTTCTCAATGACATATATTCATGTCTGAAATGTTTATATGCATGTCTGAAGTGAAGTGTTTATAAACAACACTGTTAGTTAAAACATGTTGAAAGATTCGTTCTTTAACTATACAACACTAAATTTCCGAAATATGGCTTGTAGGTATATTATTTTGCATTTTGTGAGCTTTGATTTAATGTAAAATTTAACTTGAAACGTTTCGTAAAATGTTTTGAAATGTTCATTCAACTAAACTACATTTGACGATAAACTGTTTTTACTTTATAATAAAACATAATAAGTTTAATACAAATAAAACAAATTGTTAGGTAATTTCAGTTCAGTCTTCAAATCAATTTGTTCTCCTTTACATTTTAAGATTTTTTCTCAAATTAAACGGTAATTTATGAAACTTAGAGCTTCGTTGAAAAGGAAAACAGTTCATGTTTTTAGGCAAAAAGTTAAAGCAACAAAATTCGTAAACATTAAATATTCAAAGAAAACTTGCCGTATATTTCACGATTTCCCATAGTAAATCAATTCTTCTCATTTCTTCAAACAAAATTGCTTCAAGCTTGTTGTATATGAAACGATTTTCCAAATATATGTCTTTTAAAATTGAAATCTTGCTTATCCCACTCCTACAAGCAATCAGCCATATTTTTTAGATCAGTGAGGATGACCACCCACTCGTCACGCCCGCGATCATTGATGAACTTTAGACTTCGCTATAATGCTTTCGTTTTCCCGGGTGTAAATAGCCGGGGGGAGGGATTAGTACCCTCGCACGGCGCTTCGCGCCGTCGGCTCGGGGACAAAGTTTGAAAACTCTTTTAAGCTTTCAGCGCAGGCCTTCACGAGGTTACTAGTGAATACTAACCCCATGCAGAATCTGAAATGGGCATCAAAGGCTATGTGGCCTACGTCTTATTGCAAATATTCTTACTCTGACTCGATATTGCACAGAGTGAAACAAGGGTCCACTTTGTTTCTGTTCACCAACTTTTCCGTGAACTGTGTCAGAAATTGAAATTGCTGTATAAACGTAGTCTAATTATAGCGTAGTCTATTTAACACTAAAAAGTCATCAAAAATCGTATGAAACTATATACAAACCATAGTTGCGGACAGAGGGTCCTTTTCGGACATTCAGTACGAATTTCCTGTGACCGCGTGGCATGTAATCCAACATGAAATCCAGAAACGACTTTTCACCACCTTAACAGCAAGGCAATAACAAATATGATATCACTTATACACACTGATCATATGTGTGATTTGAGACACCGAAAAGCATAATTCAGTTCAATTGATGATAACGATAAAGATGGCTGGGGCACATTTAACCAAAATTGTTTGTGGTACTATAAATTGACAAACTTATTATTTGTAAATAAACATTTTAACGTGCAGAACTGCATGAAGTACATATACGTAGGTATAAAAGCAGTAAAACAGTACGACCCGAAACAGTCCCTCTTTAATAATTCGAGGTTAGTCCCACGTTTTTCGGTTACGGATATACAGTTTAATTTTCCGGTGGTGCTCTTTTTCAGGCTTTTCATGGTCAGGTAATATATATGTAGCCTGATGTGACTGCAAATTCTACGGAATGTGGCCCTGTTATGCCCATCTTTGTAAATAGTGTTGCAAACAAAGCATATCTTTTTTTGGAAAGCTTAAAAGCTAAAATGTTTTCTAAAATATTTGGTCTGAGAAACGTTTTGTCTTGCCAAGTGCGAATATGTCTCGCAAACTATACTTTCTTAGTCCAAGCTTCACCCTAAGGCAATCATCAAATTCAATATTATACTTGTTGCAATTGAACAAATTATAGTGACTAAATTTGCTTGCATGCTCTACGATAAATGTTTTAGCCAGGTTTTCCCAGCTTTCAGCCGAAAACTTGGCTAGAAAGCAATAGCCCAATTTACACTAGGAAAAGTAACCCGGGTTCGAACCGGCTTAACTTTGAACTAGGCTCTGGGGCGGTTCAGTAAAAAAACCCGACGTAAAATATCCGACAAAACCAGTTTATCGGGTTTTGATCGTATCATCTTGACGTCAATTGAAATCGCGTTTCATTGAGTTATTATCGTTTTTTTTCGAAAAGACACGAAAAATGGGCTACGAAAAATATACCAAGGCAATAGATTTCCGAGTTCCTGCAGATTGGCTGCGTGCAGGTTGTCCCCATTCAGATTTCATTTCAGTCTCCAGGGCCGTAGCAAC